AAGCCAAAGACCCTCAGCAAATAAAGTAAACAACTAAAATATTTATTAACTGAAGAATTTTTTTACAGCAAACTCTTATCACGACACAGTCTTCAAGTCAAATGACACTTAACCCTTTGAGTACAATTAGGTTGGCCACTCTGATCTGGAGAAGAAACAATGAACAGACCTGGAGGATTCCTCCGCCATGGCCCTCTATCAAAAACATGAACAAGCACATCAGGATCTAGAAGGTCCAAAACTGCTTCTTTTAAAAAGTCAGACATTAAAGGAGAAACACAATGGCTTGCTTTTTTAGTAGGAACTGAATCAAGAACAACATTGTCATTTTCAACATTAGATTTTTTTCTTTACATGTGTACATAGTTCTATTTTGTCTGGTTCTTATGACGAGATTTTTCAGTTCAGTTCATACAGACGTGTGTTGGAGAAAAAATAAAATGTGTGAAGTCTGTCCAAACTCCTCGTCTGTTTGCAAAGGGACAGACGCTGGTCTGCGCTCATTCTGAATTCCAAATCCGCTTCTGCTGAGTCTCAGCTTTTAGTGAGGGACAGTGATCCGAGATCTGTACATACACAGGCTAGTCAAATCCATAATATTGTCCTAAAACAGTGAAAAGACAAACTATGACAGATACTAAAAGGGTTAAGGCAAGAATAGAAAAATAAAGAAATAGTAAAAACAATAGAAATGTTGCTTCTCTGTCATACTCGACTCGCAACGCTCAGATCCTAAGAAGCTGTGGTAGTGAGAATTATTCACATAGTCTTACTCTCTTTACAGAACCCTTCACTTTACACAGTATTTACAGCAAAACAGAATCTATCCCACAAAAAGAAAAGTAGTCCACTGAAATTAACACGTTATTCATGAACACAATGATAATTAAAAAACTGTATAATTGTATCATATCGTCAGTATGTAAAAACATTTACACACAGACTTGCAAATAGTGTTTTACAGTAGTCGTTACATTTCATATCAAATCAATCAACAGAGCAATCTGAAAACCTTGTTTTCAGTGATCGTTTGTACAAATGTCTGCTTTCGATTGCTGTTTGAAACGTTGATGGGTACAGATACCATTTACATAACTTGTTTTTCTTTTGTGTGTGTACTCTGTGCACAGTTGACGATTTCAGTTTTACAAGAGGCGTAGAGATAATGGAGAAAAGTACACGGAGAAATGTGAGACACAAACAGATGTGGTGGCGAGCAAAGACGACACAAGGACATTGCGACTGAGAGGTCAGGGATGCGGCACACCTCGCTGCACGCCCACTGTCCCCTCCAGAGGTTAAACAACCGGCATCACCTTTCCCACAAGTTTGTGAAATGACCACCGTGTTTTAGAGTCTAAACAGTGCGCTGTGTGCATGAAAGGGTAGAAAAATATCTTCGGAACACGACCAGAGACAAGAACTAGTGTGACATTGAATAGAGGAAGGTCAGCAGGAGGAGGTGGGGGATATTTACTTGAAACTCCAAAGACTAAGGTCACCTCTGACGCCGGTTTTCCTTACAAACAAATAGATCAAAGTTTTTGCTTTTCAGCGAGTGCTGAAAACAAAGGGCCTGTTTATTCCTGGTATTAACATGCATGTTTGGTGATCCTAAACAAGTGGACAGGACTAAATACATGAGCAAACGACCACCAAGATTTTGACCACATATCTTTTGTTGTGTAAATTCGAATGCGTCCTGATATGTCCCTGACAAGGACTACAACATCAATGCAGGATGTGGTGGTTGTTTTGGTGACAGTGTGCTCATGCTCTACAACTTGCCCATGAAATGAGCAAGTTGTAGAGGGGGTTGGACGAAGTGTTGCGTGACCGTCCATTGTTTTGCCCTATGGAAGGAGACGTGTTGTATGTTGGTCAAAAATCAAAGCTCTAGTAACTCCTAAAGATTTGAGAACAACTTCATTATGAAAGTTCATTTCAGCCTATGGCCCTGACTTTAGCAAAGGCCACAGGATGAATCGTACCAATCAGAATCTGTACTTTTAGGAGCAGTGTGTAAGATTTAGGGGGATTTAGTGGCATCTAGTGGTGAGGACTGCAGATTGGAACCAGCTGAAACTTCTCCTGGTTAGAATTCCTTCAGTGGCTACTGTTCAGGAGGTTTTTACTGGGAGATGAATTATCCGCAGAGGTTTCAGGTGTTGTGTGCTGCTGACAGTGACATCTCTGGTTGTATCCACACAACCACTAACATGACTAATGAGGCAGCTAGCAACAGAGTGGATGTAATAACCGTGCACTGGGCGCTTTGAACTTGTAGCGTAAAGGTTTTTTTAATCCGTCGCCCGAAAAACCTTGCACACTGATTCCGGTGCGTTTTATTGTTGTATTCGTTGTGAAAATTGGCAATACACCAAAACACGTTAATACCAGGTTTAAACAGGCTCAAAGATGCCTGCATAGTCATTCAATACTCTTGATCTAATCATGACAAAACATCATAGTATAGTATGTCGTCCAAAATCATGAAAAAACATCATAGTTTAGTATGTCGTCCAAAATCACGAAAAAACATCATAGTATAGTATGTCGTCCAAAATCATGAAAAAAAATCATAGTATAGCATGTGGTCCAAAATCACGAAAAAACATCATAGTATAGTATGTCGTCCAAAATCATGAAAAAATGTCATAGTTTAGTATGTCGTCCAAAATCACGAAAAAACGTCATAGTATAGTATGTCGTCTAAAATCACAAAAAAACATCATAGTATAGTATGTCGTCCAAAATCACGAAAAAAGTCAGTTTAGTATGTCATCCAAAATCACGAAAAAACATCATAGTATAGTATGTCGTCCAAAATCACGAAAACACGTCATAGTATAGTATGTCGTCCAAAATCACGAAAAAACATCATAGTATAGCATGTCGTCCAAAAATCATGAAAAACATCATAGTATAGTATGTCGTCCAAAACCATGAAAAAACGTCATAGTATAGCATGTCGCACTCTTAGTCATGCTGTACAAGCGCGTGTAGTTTTTGGCTATGATAGAGATGTGTTGTAGCCAGGGTGGGTGGAAGTCAGGATGAATTTCATAGCAGTGCTTGTTGAGATTGCCACAAGCATGGATTCAAGGCCTACTCAAGGATTTTTGTCTTTGATCTCACAAATTTGTCTGAAACAAATTCTGCCGTCAGTTACATAATATGCACCAAGCTTTCCAGTATCAACCCTGACTTTGTTTCAGGATACCAGTGTTGTTTAGGACTTGATGAACATTTCATTTACACTGTGAAGGAGTATCTCAATCTGTGGACGTTGTTTTTCATTTTCCTGAAAGAGGAACATGAGTCGTGACATCTGCAACGATGCTGACAGTGTGCAGACAAACCAGAGAGGACTATGAAGTGTGGAGAGAGGACCCTGACCGTTGCCTCCCGCTTTGAAAAGCAGCACATTTATCGTTCTACTGAAATTATTCCACGGACTTAAAATGAACTGTTAAGTGGTTTTACAAAGAGCTGTGTAAGAAAGGTTTACTGAATAACTATTTCACCTGGCATGACTGATTGAAGCACAATTTGTGGCCACAACACACAGTTCACATCAAAGTCTGTGCTAATTTCACAAAATTTGAAGACAGTGTTAGAAATCACCCCTGCTTTCTGTCGGGGGAAAAACAGACAGTGATGGACAAACAGGGTGACAACATCGACACTTGAGGGAAACTTTAGCGCTCTCGAGACAAGCTTGAAGATAATGGAGAGGAGTGGAGGCGAGGACAAGCCAAGGGGCCACTGCGGCGCGTCAGAGCCGTGAACGTGTGAACTGTGGCAGGAAAAGCACCACACTTTCCTGCCTTATTAAGTCTGGCCGTCTGTAAACAGATTCGACACTCTGTGACCTCCTGGCATACTCAAATCCAGGCCTGCGTGACATGGCTTTAATTAGCCCCACCCTCTCGCTCTTTCTTTCCTATGTCGAGACACCAGAGAAGTCTGACCCACCACGAGCTCTGCCGATTTCATCAACAGCTACGGCTGGTGTGTGTTCTGGCCTGCAGGAACCTGTTGTGCACCATCAAACTACTTTCACGTGCTTTGGATATCATGACTTGCTATAATTAGCTATCTGGCAGTCAGTTACATCAGAGCGGAGACACTGAGGCGATGGGACAGTGCTGAAGACAGAAGCATAAATGGCTCAGCAGGACGTACGACAGCTATGTCCTAATTCAGAGCCTGGATCCTCTCATGGCAGCAGGTCATTTCAAGGACCTCAAGACAGACGACTGAGGTATGCTTGAAATAAACTACGGCCACCCTCTGTTCGTAACAGGTTTACAATCACAGGCAGGCTGGACACAGAGAATCGTACAAATGGCTCAAACTATGAGACTTGTGAGAGGAGAGACCCAGCATGCTTTCTCCTCTCTACACACCTTTTCAGTCGCTGCTTGAAGTGGGCGTGTGTGTCACATTGTCTCTTACAGAGTTGCATAAATAAAAATGCAGCTTTCCGCCCCATCTCCAACGTCGAGACTGTTTGATGGTCTGACAAAGCACTCTGACACGTCCGGACTGCTCTTCCTTTGCCAAATAACATGATCTAGCCTCACAGAGACCAAAACTGATGGTGCGTTTAGGCGCTGCTTGCCAAAAATGAAAGCTCCAGTAACACTTGAAGATTTGAGAACAACTTCATTATGAGAGCAAAGCATTTCAGCCTGTGGCCCTGACTTTGGCAAAGGCCACAGGATGAAACGCTTCAGCCAGAATCTGCACTTTTAAAGGAGCAGTGTGTAAGATTTAAGGGGATTTAGCGGCATCTAGTGGTGAGGACTGCCAGTTGCAACCAGCTGAAACTTCTGCTAGTTAGAATTCCTTCGTTTTTCTTTGTTCAGAAGGGTTTAACCAGGAGCCAAATTATCTGAATAAATTAGTTTCAGGTTAAAAATAGTGTTTTTCCAATGCTTTTGTTGCAAATGCAAATGTCCCGATCTAAAGTCAGTGGTTGGTTTGTGTCCCAGGCTGTTGCAGAAACATGGTTGCTCAACGTGACAATCTCCGTGGACGAGGACCTGCTCCATATGGAGTTATAAACAGCTCATTCTAAGGTAATGTAAAGTGGTTTTATATTCCATTTCTGTTCAAATATCCCCCTAAATCCTACACACTGAACCTTTAAGTCAGTAATTTCAAGTTGCCCTTAAACAAAACATTTACATACCAGTGAAAACTAAAACAAGTATGACAGCATCCAAGTTTATAGTAGAGCTGTCAAAATTGCTCAAAAATGACGTTCGAATATTCCTTCTAAAAATAACTCATAGGTTCGAACCATTCGAATATTTCTTTTTCCACATTATGTCCACAAGAGAGCAAACTAATACAAGGAAACATACTTGTATATGAAACATAACTACCTGTAGGTATTTTTATTTCAACATAAACGTCTTTGAAAACATTTACATACCTACACATTAAAACACATAAAACAATTATCTATAACATTACATTATAAACGACCGCGGACCTCTCGCTCGCCCCCTCTCTCTGACCCGTGACCACACCGCACGCGGAAGCGCTGCGAATAGCCTCAAAGCTCCGGACTGTGACCGGCTCGCGCCCTGCAGCGATTGTTTCGGCGTCCGGTCTATTTTCTGTGCGAGCTGCGAGCGAATGTGTCAAGCCGGGTGACGGAGACAACAGCTGGGAGCAGAACTGCTTGTCGACCAGGCTGGAGAAATGCGCGTCTGATGCCAACGCCCGCTTGCAAAGAGGACAGCTGCAGTGGTGTTTTTTTCTCTCTCCACAATCGAATATCAATTTTCACATTCGAAGGTCCTTTTTTTTTTTTTCAAATTCGAATTTAGAATATTCGTTGACAGCCCTAGTTTACAGTTAAATTCGGATGGTTCACTTCAAATCATGGTGAACAACTGGGAAACAGTTTATCAATTTAAATGCCCCATTAGACAACTGACTTATGGTAAGGTAGATGTATTTAGATACAGGGATGTCGGAGGATCCAATCTCTGAAGTGGGAGGAGCAGGCAGCTGTTGGGTGTCAATACAGGAATGCAGGTGATGCGTTGTCATAAAATATTTACATGGCATGTAAAGGAAAGTTATGCACCCTTGATTGGTTTGCATGTTCAGCCACAGAACCTTAAAAAAACCTAAAAGTATAGACCAAGTTTAACTAAGATTTCTTCACTTCCTTTCTACAGTGGCTTTGTTTGGTTTTAATTTTTTATGTATCTGTCAGGGATGAATGTGGGACACAGTTGTTTGAAAAAATATCAGTGATAAAATATGGGATTGTTGACTTGGATCAAAGACAAAGAAAACTGTCTTGAGGTTCGGCTGAAGTGTCTGTCAAAGCTGAATGTAAAAAATATTTGCCGAAATAACAAAGAAGTCACTTCTATCGAAAGAAGTTTGTATTGAGTTTGAAACATAATCACACTTAAAAGTCATTTTTGTTATATTCCTGGGTGTTATTTCTACATCAAACTATCTGCTGCTTCAGTAACGTCAGCCTTGCATCCTGATGATGTTGCTTCACAGAGCGAAATATAAAATTAGGGTGCATAACTTTTGGTTACAGCAATAATAAATGTTTTATAATGACGTCCTCGATGCAACAGTGAGTTTACATTTTTCAACATAGAGAGCTGGAGCTTCTCAACATCTGTCCAGCTGTGAATCCTCTTTACACTCAGCTGCTTGTCTCTGGTTCGGGCTTCGAGACGTTAACGCCAAACAGGTTTGCGCAAGACATTTAGTGAAATGGAAACAACACAAAGACACATACACAACACAGTGACTGTGGTGAGAGCGACCATGGCCTCAGTCTCTGCCTGAGCCACACACACACGCTCACACTGTTTGTTGAGTTACGGTGTAAAACAACAGCCTTGACACTCCAGTCTGTCCAGTGCATGTTTGTATTTTCTGTGCACACGCTGGCATGCACATGTGTGCGCAAGTCTGTTTTATGAATCCAAGGGGAGAGTCGTCAGATGGAGGAGGGGGGCGTGGCAGTCCCGCAGTGAGGGGAGGAGAGTAGGAGTACGGAGAGGAGGACAGGAGGAGGAGAGCGTTAGTTGTTCTGAAGGCAGTCAAGATCCACCGAGCAGCAGACATTCCCATTCTGAGCAGGGCAGCATGAAAAGACAGGAGAGAGGATACAGAGAATATTAAATATTCTATAATGAATATGCCGTACAAGGCGCAACACAAGTCAGAGCCTGGCTGGCCACACTTTGTCAAAATATTAAGACTGATTACAGAGGGGAACGTCACATGACGTAAACAATATCACTAGTCTAATGTCCCCAGACCAAATTACAAATGTGAGTTTAAGCCTTAACACACCGAGTACCTATTTCTTACATGCATTTTTTTTAATTCGCCATCCAAGATTGTATTCACTGCGAAAATTTCACAATACAAGGCAAAATGGAAAAACACATTTGCTCCCTTGCTTCCCTTGACTGGAGGTCTAGGCCGTTGCTAGTCTTCTGCCCGTGTCTTGCATTTGACAACACGGCTACCCAAGTTAGGAAATTATACCCTGCAGCTATGAAGTTGCACTCTGCTCTAAGAATTATCATTTCTGCACAGGCTAATGTTAACTTGTCTCTCTTGTTGCAGATGTGTGTGTCCTGCAGGTTACGCCACATTTTCTTCCCTGCTGCTTGGTCAAGGAACTCTCTAAAGGCTCTTGACGGATGCAGAAAGACACGGTAAGTCAAACCTGTTTTGAAAACTTTAACAGAAGTTTCAGAGTCAGCACGTAAACGTGAGGTATTTATTTTTAAACACGAGATAACTTTGGACAGAAACTGTAAGAGCCATGTTGTAGGCAACTGGACTTGTTTGAGTTCCTTGAAGATGTTTCACCTCTCGTCCAACAGGCTTATTCAGTTCAAACAGACGGGTGCAGAGTCGCAGGGTTTAAACTGTGGTCACATGTGAGCTCTGAGTTTCAGAATCATGAGGGTCAAACGGGTCCAGGTGAGAATGGGTGTTAAAGGGATAGTGCACCCAAAAATGAAAATTCAGCCATTATCTACTCACCCATATGCCGAGGGAGGCTCAGGTGAAGTTTTAGAGTCCTCACATCACTTACAGAGATCCAAGGGGAGAGGGGGTAGCAGCACAACTCCAACTAATGGAGGCTGACGGCACCCCAGATTCAAACATCCAAAAACACATGTTTTAAACCACAAAATATCTCCATACTGCTCGTCCGTAGTGATCTCTGTTTTTAGCCTCATTGTACCCTGCAGCTCTTTCTGCCTTTCTGTGCACCGCGCTCATGTGAGACCGTGAGACATGGACACCGCGTTCATGTATGTTCACCTGCTTTCGCTGGTCTTGCGTGCAGGCGCGGTGCACAGAGAGGCAGTCAGAGCTACAGGCTACAATGAGGCTAAAAACAGAGTTCAAATGACGTTTTTCCAAACAACATTTCATGTCGGGGCTTCAGGACACTTGGATCACTACGGACGAGCAGTATGGAGATATTTTGTGGTTTCAATTATGTGTTTTTGGATGTTTGAATCTGGGGTGCCGTAAGCCTCCATTAGGTGGAATTGTGCTGCTACTTCCTCTCCCCTTGGATCTCCACAAGTGTTGTGAGGACTCTAAAACTTCACCTGAGCCTCCCTCTGTATATGGGTGAGTAGATAATGGCTGAATTTTCATTTTTGGGTGCACTATCCCTTTAAAGGGTTCACACCCACACTGAGTTCAAGGCCTGCGACATCTTAAAGAAACTCAAATAAGTCCAGTTGCCTACGATATAGCACTTAAGATTACCATGACCTGGATGACTCAGAATCTTCACTGACACTGAAGACAAAAAATACAGACTTGGTGTGCAAAGGTCTTCAGTCTGAAACCTCTCAGGTCATTTTTCAATATCCAAGGAGCATTATAAACAGCCGTACATCAAAATGCCTCTGGATGCAATTAGACAGACCAACAACCAATTAGAGTAATGCAAAATTATAAACCGACTACAGTGTGCGGAGATGTGCTGTGATGCTGCACCATCAACATGTCTATGAACAAAGGTTGTTTTCAGCCATCAAAATTTGAAAATAGTACTTTATCAGATTGTTCCACAGCAGCTTTATGCTTGCTGTAGTGCTGTAGAGGCCAGTATCTAAAATCCTTAACTGCACGGCCTGATATCAGATGTGTTTATGATTTGGCTGACCTGATCCTTCAACGGAAGAACGATAGATAGCTGACCGGGTAATGGGGCCTGTATGCTTTGGCTGTCTTAGGTGAGGTCACCTGCTGGTCAGAGGCAAACTGAGTCTTTACCAACAGTGATGCTGCTCACTGGTGGCAGAGTGAAGTGCAGTAGCTCCGCCAGTAGCTATCACCACTTGCTGTGACCACAGCGTGAGTGAGCACACCAGCTGCTGTGGCTGGCTGTGACTTTTGTTTTTCTCTTTTAAGCTAAAAGAATTTTGCCCAAGTGCACAAAGTTTACTATTTCAGTTTGTGTAACCGCTAAACAAAATAACTGGCATGTGATGTCGACTATGGTTTCAGCCCACGTAATTGATGTGCTTCTTTTTAGCTCATTTAAATTTTGATGGCTGAAAAATAAAGCAGAACTGAGGGATGACAATATTTTTACTAAATGTGTGGAGATGATGAGTTAGGGTGACATGTTCCTGACACAGTGATCTGCATATTTTGTTCTTTTATAATGAGAATGTACCTTACATCATCTGTGACAGTCAGATATTGTATATCCTCCATCACACATTGGATAAAGTCACTGTAACAGTTTCCACCTTGGGGAATTTTCATCAATAGCTTGTAATGGCAGCCATTATCTGCAACACTGTGACGCTATGAAGGAATTCAAAGATTGACACGAGCGGGAACTGAATCAAGCTTTTTATATCCCAAAACTACAAGGACAATGGTCCCGCTGCAGGGACTACAAATTGCAGCTCAAAAACAGGAAAACCACGCATTAATTATTTCTGAGAAACAAGTTAAAGTCCAAATTTATATGTTGTGAACTTTTGTTTGAGCACTAAGCGATCCAAGCTAGTTTTAATTCAAACACAGATGCTGCACAGTAAAGCAAACCTTCATTATTGTTGCTTTGGCCTACCTTACACTTGCAGGTGGTACAGGGTGAGTTGGGCATATGCCATGTGTCTCCACTGAGGCGGACGGCGCCTGTGGGGTCCTGACACGTCTGCCGGATGTCATACGACAGGTTGTCGGCCAGGCAGGGGTCTGTGACGCAGCGCGGGCAACACTCGCCCTCCGCCACCGCTGTGTACTCACACATCAACACAGGGCAAACCAGAGGCCAGCAGTCCACCTCCCCCTCCTGAGTGAGGTAAAAAAAGAAAGGTGACACGAATGTTACTGTGTGTTGTTGTTTTTTCTCCTTATGTGTGAATCAGCTGATCTGGCAACTTCAGTTACAGCTCACATGCTGATTTGTTGCCACATTTCTAATTAGAGAGGTGATAATTATCTGAGCCCTCCACTCACGCTTACACACACAGCTGAGCAGCAGATCAGGGCCAGGTACTAAACAAAGCCCTGCGCTGAGCGTCATGTTGATGAGGTTGTTCTGTGTTTAGGATGTCACCTGTTACTTCTTACAAACCTGTTTCACCACGCTCAGGGATTTAAAGCAGCTACAGGGAACTTTTATTTTGTGTTGATTTTGGCAGCCCATGTTCCCATGAGCTACTCTGTCTCATGTTGTAAAGATTTTAATCTATGGAACTAAATCAGGGCCAAAAGTTTTAATAATTAAAGAAATTGAAATTGAAAAATAAAAATTTAAAAAAATATAAAATATATTTAAACTAAAACATACATTTGGAAAAGTTTTTTTCAGGTTAAATACAATTTTGATTCAGTTCTGGAATTTTTTGAATGAATTATTCATTTTCAGTTTTCACTTCAATATATATTTGAATTTCGCTCTTTTCAGTCACAGACTTTTTTGCAAAGTTTACGTTAGCTGGTATATGCCAGCCTTTGGCAAAGCCAGAAATCTGAAACTGAAAAAATCTGAAAACATAACATCTGCAACTAAAAAAAGTGAGACTTCAAATATTGAAAAATATATGAAAGTGAAAACTGTCCAGCACTGAATCAACATTAGATTTCACCTGGGGGGGGGGAAAAACCCTTTCCTACACTTATTTTTAGTTTTAATACATTGTTGTATTTTTCAAAATTCAAAAGACCTAACCTAACTTTTTCAATTTTAAATTCTTGATTCAAATTATCAAAACCTTTGGCCCTGATTTAGCTCCACATTAATCTGGCTTGTGCATGCATTTGTTTTGGAAGCAACTAAAAGAAAAATGCAAACAAACTATTTTTAATTTTTTTTTTCCTTTTTTATACACAGCTGCAGGATGCATCGTGATGAGGTAATTTATTTATTTGTGGCTGTCTAAGATTAATAACTGTATTATGACAACAGTGAAACAAAGTCAACTTTGATTCAGCCCCCAACATAAATTCATATTTTGATGTAAAGACACATCTCACAATGTATTTGATGAACAGACAAACATATTTCATTCCTGTCTGGGAGAGAGAGGGCCAACTTGAACCATTTCAAATCCTGAAATTCTTTCCATCTGTTGAAAGACTGACCAAGGTTGACTCTGTTTTCACCTGTGCTCTGTCACTTTGGCTTTTTGTTGCTGTTTGTTTGTTCTTTGAGTCATTTTTTTTTTCTCTTTGCTGATCCTGATCAGCCATAACCACAAAATCTTAAAGTATCCTCCTGCTTCCTTTCAACTTGCAGACATATTTCTGTACTCATGAACAAACTTTGCCTTGGAAATGTAAACAGGCTCTTGTGTGCCATAAATTGTTCCATTTGATTTTGCGGAGAATCATACCTGGGAACACGCATTAAAAACATTAAGAACAGACTGTTTCAAGTTGTCTCTCTGTTGCCAGGAAACTACACTGTTGGTCCACTTAGACTTTCAGTCCAGCCACTACTGCACTTAAACTAAAAAATAAAATACACACTGTGGGAAATGGCCTAATTAGTTTTAGGACCTTGCTCCTCAATGTTAGGTTGTTCCCTTTGAAAAGGTACAAACCTGATTTCAAAATAAAAGTCTACTGTTTCCCTCAAGAAACCAACCAACGCAAAGCCTGAAGCATTCAAACGAAAGAACTGCACACTGATGGAAAACTCCAGGGTCTGTACAATTATTTCAGTACTGGTATGTTTCACAATTGGTTGGAGAATAAAATTGTCAAGACAGAAAAACAGCAAATGCTTCTTTCCTTCTCTGTAAACTGTTGGCTAGCGATCGTTAGTTTAAATTTCGGTAATGAAATATGTTTTTCGACAGTGTCCACATCTTTTGAACGCTGCAATTTACGCTGGTTTGTTTCTGTAGGGAATCAGTGGACTTATAATTGTGCCTAGTCAAAGGGAACACTCTGATGTGGATCATAAAGAGGCATTAGTGTTTCATAACTCATTAAAAACTCCTTGTAGCTGCATGTTGGTGAAGGTTCTCAGTCATCCAGGTCATGGTAATCTTAAGTGCTGTATCGCAGGCAACTGGACTTGAGTTTCTTGAGGATGGCCAGGTGGGTCAACAACTCACATGTGACCTCAAAGACTCTGTAAGGGTTCATGCCCACGCACCAGTCTGTTAGAACTGAAGAAGCCTCTTGAATGAGAGGTGAAACATCTTCAAGACACTCAAGCAAGTCCAGTTGCCTACGATACAGCACTAAAGAGCTGCTTTAATATGAAGATCAGCTGTTGGCAAAACACCTGTAGCTTCTGTGTAAACGTGTGTGTTTCTGTGTACGTACCATGCAGCGGCACTGCTGGCAGCCATACAGCCAGGATGCTCCACTGCGGTAGAGTGTGCGTCCACTCTGGTCCAGACACTGGCTGCTGGGCCTGTTGTCACAGCCGGGGCAGCAGAACAGATCCTCGTCTGGGTCTCCACAGTCGCAGGGTCTCCTCCTGCAGTATGTCTGCCCGTCCTGCAGGACAGAGGTCACAGCATCAGAGAGAAAACAGACTTTGGTCTTATGGTCTTTTTTTATTAGTGTAATGAAGACTGTACTTGAAACTTCACCACCTTGGTGTCATACATAACTAGACATTGGAGCCATGCAGTGTGCGAACAATCTTTTTTTTTTTTTAATTTGAAAACAGACTTCGGTCATGATAGTGGCCCTGAGATACTGTATGTAGCAGACTTCAAAGAAATAGTGCCAACAAAGACCTCAACACACGTCACCTCACTCTCTGGACTGTAAAGTGCTGCTGCTCCAGCAATTCTTTAACAGTGAATAGGGGGGTCACGCTGCGTTCAACAGTTGCTGAAACTGAAAGCTTTCACCGTTCTGGTTATAGTGAAGGGGTTTAAGGATTCCCTGTCGCCTTGAATGTCGTTTCAGAGCCTTTTCATCTCTGAGAAAAGCACAATCCTAGAGAGAACACTGAATGCCTGACATTTGATTTTGCCTTGAAGGCCTTACATGCCTTACAAACATACTGAATCTCAGTAGAAAAAATAAAGCACGTCATGATTCAAAGGCCCCCATCAGACTAATCCTAGACTTCAGGATATGATCAAGGTGCATATATGACACCTCCCTCAGACGCCTTTAGGGAGAGCTAGTTAACAATTTTGCACACTGGGTCATCCAGGCGTATAATTCAAGGCCAGCATACCTACGGAGGTTTTAATGTCTTGTAGCAGCTCTCACATCTCCATTTCCTAACAGCAATTTATTGGAGCCATGAATGAAGCCAGAATGTGTTAGAAGGTTGGTGTCTGGGCTGGCGTGTAAAGTCAAATGCAGACGAATCTGCTGGATGTGGGAGCCTGCCGAGCTGCCGTGTCCCTGGCTCTCTGTCGCTTCGCAGGAAAAAAACTTTATGGTCCATTTTACTCACCACAGCCAGCACTGTCTGGCCCGGGGACGACATTGTAATGGAGATGTAAAAATGTTACATAAAATGGCTGTTAGAAAATGTATGGGAGCCATAAAATCATTCCGCATACCATTAAAAGGGCAATACAGAGCCAATGTTTTATCGATGCATATTGTCCTGCTACAGTAACCGCCGAGTCCCAGGGTAGCAATACCGATGGCCTTGGTCTTTACAGTTATGGCCCTTGACTTGCTGGGAAATTACTGCCAATTGTACCGTGCCGGCAGGACGTATGAAGGCAAACTGTTCATTTTTATGCCAAGAATAAGACCAGGCATGAATGCTAATGCTGCGCTGTTGTGCTAACCAAAACAACATCGTTATACAGCCTTTTTGTGTCACCGACTTTATGATGAATTTGATGACTGTGGGTGACATTTTCTTTAATCAGTAGGTATGACTTGTTTTCAATAGAGTCCTTGAGTCAGGTATTCCTCTCCAGTGTATTTTTTTCTGAGGATAATCTAATTTAAGAGCATTTCGTCTCTATTAAATCACTTCTGTAGAACTCTAAAATCTAATTCTCTAATTTAACTCAATTCCTTCTTTCATTTTCCTTCAAATAAAACTTTGATTAAAGTATAGTTTCTACCTTACATCTCATGTGCTCAGGAGTTTCTACAAACTCTTTCCTGCTCTGCCCACTGTCCTCTCCCTGTCATGCACCTCTGTCTCTTCCACTTGCCCTGTCTGGCATCCACTTTTTTCAATCATATCGAGCCAATCAACCCTCCTCTCATGTTCGACAAACCAGTCCACAGTTTCTTTCAGACTCTGATTGCCTCTTTCTCTCACCTTCACAAACCAAAGCAACTGTGGATCCTGACGGCGTCCAGTATTAGCAGAGTGTCACACTTGTGTCTCTTTTCTCCACTCTATCTTTACGGGTCTATTTTTGCCACAACAGCTCTTGAATCTGAAACCCGAAATTTCCTTGTGAACGTATGTAAACAGATGGCAACTGACCTGGAGTAGAGCCTAGTACGGCTTTGCATACAGTGATTAAAATGAGCTGATATGCACATTATGTTGTAAAAATAGGGCTGCCCCCTAATAGTTGATGTTAGATAATCACAAAGGTAAGTCGCAGAAAAAATTAATAATTTGGAGACACACCATGTCACGCACCGGTGTTTGTTAAGGTTGCTTAGCAACCTCAGGTGCAACCTGTGATGTGATATTTGTTGACATACTATACCATGTCGGGGGGCTTTGTGTGTGTGATTTTTGATGACATACTATACTATGACGTTTTTTCATGATTTTTGACG